TTTTCACACCCCGCCCCCCCCGACTCCGTTATAGTATTTGACACTACCTATACACTTAGGTGGTATCGGACTTCCTGACCTGGCCAAATATTACAAAGCAACCCACCTTGCACAGGTCATAGATCGGTGCTGCCATAGTCAGACCAAACAATGGGTCTCCTTGGAGGAGGAAGAGGCTAGTTCTTTTCTCGCTGGTTTACCTTTGCTGTCTGTGCCATTGGCGTCTGCTTTGCTTGTTCATCCTACCATACCCTCCACTATTTTACTCATCAGATAGCTCCTGCGGTATTCAGATCTTTCCCCATTCCCCTCCGCCTTGACCCCTGTACTTTGGTGATCCGGATTTCCCACCAGGTCTTGAAAATCCTAGACTGTGTCGTCTTTATTACGCGAATAAGTTTTGCATTTGTGTGACTTACGCTCTGGGTTCCATTGGCTCACAGTGGAGGAGTTGTGCCATCTTACAGACCCCCCAATGGATCAGTGGAGTGCCCTTCAGTTACGTAATTTCTTATCTTCTATTCAACACCCCTGATAGTTGTCCTGGCCTCTATCTCACTTTGAGAAGATATGCACAAAAGTTAGCCTAATCCCTCATACAATGTCCCTGCTTTTTTCTGCCCTGACTTCTGGCTCTATGGACTTGGTGCTGGCATTTCTGGCGAAGTGGGAAAGGGTTCTAGGGACCACCTTCACTCCTGAACAGACAGACCGCATTCACTGTTTTGCATACCGCTCTTCTATTGCCTGTAAAGGTGGCCATACACCTGCCGATTATCGTACGATGATCGCTGGAAATCCCACGATCGTACGATAATCGGCAGGTGTGTGGAGGGTGTTTGACCATTTCTACTGTACGGTCGCACGTCTTTTGTCTTACGAGCATGTTTGAAAACCAGCCAAAAATCTTACGATTTGTGGCGTGCTCGTTAGACTTTCGTCTTGTGATGGTTGTAAGTAGGGATGCTTGCAAATATTCGGTATCGCCGCTGATACCGATGCTTGTATCGGTATCGGTGCATCCCTAGTTGTAAGGTGTATGGCCAGCTTAAGACTCAGGAGCTAGGACAAAAATTGTATCTAGATGCTATAGGGTCCCCACGGTCCTCCATGCCATGTACCCCTTGGTCCTCTTGGTCTGCTGGCATTGCCAGGCTGCTCTGAGCACCATGCTGCATACCTTTTGGCCCTGCATGAAACTACGTCCATTTTGGGATGGGGTCATTCAAACCTTAAAAGACTTGGTGATAGTTGATCTGACAGACAATCCGGCTGCATGTTTGCCACACCTATCGAACATCTCTTGTTGCGAAGTATAAGAAGTCCCCTGACTAAGCACCTTTTAAATGCTGCCCGCACTTATAAATTCCTCTAGAATATATAGAAGATTTGTCAGCTGGAGGATTTGACCTCCTACCTTGAAAAACACTGAAGAACGCTTCCAAGACACCTGGAGACTGTGGGCCTTCTTTCGAACCACTGACCCATGCTTAAAAATCATGGCTGACAACACCTCCTGAACCACCCCCTTAAAAATCGGCCCCTCTTCAGCTGTTCCATAACAGCGGACATTGGTCAGTAGCCCGGGCTCACAGAACTTGAGCTATCCATCCACACAATCTCCCTCCTCCACTCTAATACTTGCATGGTCCTTTCACCCCCTTGTGACCCCTTCCTCTCCTATCTCTCCTTCCGCATTTGCTCCTTCCTGTTTTTTCGGGGTGTCCTTAATTTTGGGACTAGCAGTTTAGATGAACACGATTTTATTGTTATATCCAATCCGGGATTTCCTTTTGACTCTCTTTTCTTATCCAGAGTTTTACATGTCTAATGAGATTCTCGCAGTGTTTCTATTACCTTAATCTTGATATGCCTATTTGTTTGCTCTGTTTGGATGTTTAACATATTGTTGATATCTGCCAATACTTGAAACCTGTTTTTGATTCTACAATAACATTTTACATCTATCTGATGTGGCTATTTGTTTTACAGACGCAGCATTGTTGCTGCTATTTTGTAGTTTCTTTTATGTTAAAAAAGTCGACTTGCAATGTAAAAAACAGCACATCTTAACATATTTTTAAAAATATTTCTTTCCTTTTAGATATCTCCCATTTAGCACGCCTTTGCAAGTTTTTTTTTCAATTTTAGTTATGGCAAACTCTGACTGTCCTAATAGAAAGACTATGGATAGACTGAGCTCCCTCTTATTAACATACAGTGAAAGAAGGCAAGCTTCAAGATCTTTAACTTTGTGTTAAGACAGACAGTGTTCAAATCTAGTTTACAACTAGATTACCAAACGCCAGAGACACTGCTAATTGTGGCACTTCAACATGCTTTATTGGGATGCCACATACATATCAATATACTGTTTTCTTGAACTTGCATTTCAGTGTTCTAGGATCCCAAGTGTTCTCTAGGCTGACTGTGTCAGATGCATGTTTGTAGACTTTTCTCGTTCCAGGTTGGTGGCCTGCATAATTTTATATTTAAAACACTTTCTTTCCTTCATTACAGCAATTAGAAGAAAAAAGCGAGGATGAGGAAGACAAAGAATGTTTGAAGCAATCTATCACTGCTCTACTCAACCTTCAGAGCAGCATGGAAAGGATATGTTCTAAGAGCTTGGCAAAGAGACGACTCAGGTATCCACAAACTGGCTTTTCTGGGTCCTTACTTTATATTAAGCATTACTGTATAGTCAGTAATGTAGTACTTTATGTTCAGTAATTAGAATTTCTGCTATGGTGTTCCTGTGAAACATGTATCACATATTTGAAGAATATAAAAAATAAAAGACAGAAAGCTATCATATTTTCAGTATAGATTCATATATTAAAGTCATTGCCACACATTATGAAAAAATTCATTTTTCCCTGGTTGCAAGCAATAAGTTCCATACTTTTTATCCTTTTTTATCTTTATAGGACAGAAACTGCAATTCTAGCAATTACAATATGCAATATTCATTTCAGTCATTTGATTTAAACTAGCACTTGTTTTCAGCTTTGAGTTTCAGTGCTAGAAATTTCAGCAAACACATTTTGGAAAACAATTTATTGTACGCATATACAATGCTGTAACCAATTGTTTGCCCCTAACATTTTTACAGCATGCTTGGTCACACATGAAATACTAACTTAAAACATGTTACTGAACTTCAGCCTAGCTCCTAATTCTAACCTTTGACCTTAAACTGTTCCACCTTTAACCTCATCCTAACCTTTAATGTTGGGTCACATTTATAAGATTGTGGCAGAAAATAATATATCATTAAATCATAAATACAATCATTGTGATACTGGTGCTGATAATACTGTCATGTACAATATGTAGCACTCAACACTTAGTTTAAATTTAAAAAAAATTGTTTTCCCAGCATACATGTATGCATTTTTATCAGTTGTGTAAAATATAATATAGTTGTAGGTGTGGAAAAATTGTTAAACAACTGAAGACTCTTTGGCCTCATTCACATGGACGTGCTAAGCTGTATAACATGCACATCCGTTCAGAACCCTGCGCCCAGGAGGAAGGTGCACAGCCGTACAACGTGCACGTCCATGCAGAAACCTGCGTCCGAGAGGTACAGGTGGTGTGTACAGACACCTGTTCAACTCATTGACAAGACACCGTTACATGCTGACCTGAACTTGCACATCTGTACAGGTACAGATGCACACGCTTGGACGCAGATAGAGTCTACATCCAAGGGCATGCATTTATACCTGTACGGATGACAAGTTCGGGTCTACGTAAAATGTTGCTGTGGGGCTTGATGTAAAAAATATTACCAACCATTTGTGTTGCATAGTGGTAAATATATGTAATAATTCAGAAAAAGGTTTTGTTAATTTTTGTACAGCAAAATGCATGTATTTTTGTATGCAATGCAATTGCATTTTGTATGCAAAAATGTTAACAAAAGGGTTAAAACTTACATGTGTCTCCACGGCACACTCCCGTCCGAAGATCTGAAGATTCTCAGGTGGCCGCAAAGGATAATGGGGCTAGCGCATGCGCAGTAGAGACCTTTGGCCGGGAGAAGAGGATATACACAGGGTGAGCCAATGCAGGCAGCGTGAACCCGCACAGACTCCGTGGGACAATAAGACACAGGAGTCGGCACTGGATCAGAGACCTGCACCAGCGCTGGAGGGACTTCTGAAAACTACAGGAAAGAAGAAGATGATCAGATCAAGAGGCAAGTCCTTACACCAGCATGGGGGGGGCTAATTTTTGGCTTTAATGTCACTTTAAAGATTGCAGGCAATATGCATTCTTTTGAAATAAATTGACCATTAATTTTAGTTTGAATTGAAATGTGGTCAAGTGCACTTGCCTGTTTTGTTTATTGTCTCTTGACATTGTACTACTTAAAGTGAACCTATTTCGAGACTATGTACACTAAAAGTATTAACATTTTAACCAAGCAGTAAAATCACTTTAACACAAGCCCTCATTCATCTTTCTAGCTATAGGCATTGTGGAGAAATTAATCTGCAAGGTTGACAACAGACAGAAATCTTAGTTTCCTGATTGTACATTACAGAACACAGGGAGGTAATTATAGAACTGATGGGTTATGCAGCTACTTTCAGGTAATTGGTCATTTGCAAATCAAAGTTGTTAGGACAGCCCTGTATAACCCCTCCCACTCCCAGCCTGCCTTCTCTTTTTTTAGCTAGTGTGTTTAAGTGATGGACACCTTTTCTGCCCTGAGAGAAGTGCACCTTTTTTCTGCATCCTTTCTGTTCAAGATTCTTCTCGCAAGGATTTCTATGCTGCTACTAAATGCAGCTATCATGATGGGTTTTCTCGTCAACAGAGCCTTGGTGGACCAGACCCCACTGAAAGGAAGATGCAGGGCTGGCCTCTAATGTGCCTCCTGGGTCCGGGACATTCCTGATGGAATGTCCAGAGTAACGTAACCAAGGCACAGTCCTTGAACCTGCCTATTTTCTTGTTCAGAGAAGACAGACTTGCCCTAGCGTGGTGGTTTTCCAAACAGGTTCTGGAATTGGAGAAATCCTTCCTCCTGATGGTCTGAGCAGCCCACTATAGATGTCTACGTGTCAGATCAGTCCTGCAAACTTTCTTAATTCAATGGACCAGGTGAATGAAGGATTTTTGACTCTTGATCAGCATCTTGGCAATTTGGTTGGCCCTTCAGTGCTGGACCCCTCAATTATACGGCCACCAAACCAGGATTCAGTTAGACATCACCATCAACCATCAGGGAGGCTTCAGAAGTGGAGAATGAGAAGAGGACCTGATTCTGGCTTGGGTGGAACTTGGCATTCTAGCCCTGTCTGCTATACACATTCCAAGTATGGAAAATTGGCAGGTGGATTTCCTCCTTGACTTCAGAACCCCGGAAAATGGTTCCTTAACCCATGGTAGTTTTGAGGCCTTTGTCACAATTGGGAAATATCTGGGATCGAACTTCTGGCATCCAGGTTTAACATCAAACTGAATAAGATTGTTGGTAGAATCAGGGTTTCCCAGGCCCTCTTAGTGACTGCCTTGTTGACTCCGTAGGATCAGTTCAGTCTGATCTCCCCCTACCCACCTCTGAAACTGTTGTTCCCCTCCTTCGCAGGATTGAGTCAACAGGCATTCGGGTGATCCTCCTTTTTCCCAAATGGCCCTATAGACTATGGTATGTGGACATAGTCAAACTCATGACAGACTGTCCGTGGGCACTTTCAGATTGCCCTATTCTCCAACTGGGATTCTACCCTACTTCTTGGTTAAAGACTTCATCAGCCTAGCTGTTGAAGCCCAGGTTTTGGATGACAGAGATCCTAGCTTTCTGAAGCATAAGGAAGTCAACCTCCTGTATAGTCTACCATCGCACCTCGAGGGCTTATTTTGCATGATGCAAGACATGGAAGTTTGATCTCAGGAAGTAGTCTGTGGACAGGCACAAAGGCCTCTAGTGAAGGCCTTTGTGCACCGGGTCATTCATGTTGTTCCCCCTGTATGTACTGGTGTCTCCATGGGACCTCAAGTTAGTCCTGTCAGCACTGCAAAAGCCACCTTTGAACTTTGAAAATGTATCTCCACTGTTCGGATGTGGTTTGGGCCATTTGTGTTCTCTCTCTCACTTTCTCTTTCTCTTTCTATTCGTCATTCCTGAGGGTACCCACATGGGGCAGCAGGCTTCTTGTGCCACTCAGGCCTATGGGGTAAAGGTACTCCCTTCCATTAACGGCTTACTCTACTAGAAGCTTTAGTGCTTTCCAGTATTACACCTCAATCTCCCAAATCTGCAAGGCTACCACCTGGTCCTCTGGCAACAAACTTCTTCAGGCAGCCCTCTGACTTGTGGACCCCTTCTGTTGTAGTTCCCTGGTGGGATGTATTTGTGTTTCTCAGGCCTGTTGGCCATTGTTTGCCGTGTTACCGGCACCTCTGCCGGACCGTTTTTGGATGTCTCATCTTGCGTGCCCTGTAGAGACCTCTGTTAGTGTTTTTGAGGGCCCGTTCAAACCAGTACAGTGCATTACTCGCAGAGTCCCATGCGATTAACACACTGTACCACGCAATTGCACCTACCGGGCGTTCTGGTGCAAGAGGTGCGTTGCCATTCATTTAAATGGCACCCCGAACGCACCTCCCATCCACAATTTGATCGACCACACCAGAATGTGTGGTACCGCAATGCCGTGCTTTTCAGTGTGGTGCAACTTGGGTCGCGATCTAATGAGGACAAATGTGGGTCCTGAGGTTACACAGGTTGAGACCTACTGACCTAAAGTATTGGTCATCTGTCAAGTAAATATGTGTTTTGATTGTTACCACCTGTTTGTTTTTTTCTTGTTTGATCATAGCATGTAGTTCGTGAACCTAATGGTAATGTTTGGAAAAATGTATTGCAACAAGTTTATTGGGGTCCTACTCCTTCCCACATATTTTGGTCTCAATGACCAATTTTATATCACTGCAGTGTTTCTGTCATCTCTTTTTGAAAGGAATAATCATTTGCTGATATTAACCTGTAGTCATGGGCATTTAAAATGTATACACAATGATCAGTAGAAGTTGCAATATTCTGTGATATGGTATGACCTACTGGTATGTGGGTTGATAAAAGAATACCCAGACATCAGGGCATTACACATGTTGCCATCATGGCTTTTCACAGAAAAACATAAACTAGAGGTATTCTATCCATATTGGAGGTCTGCTTGTACAAAGAGATCATGTAATGCTTTGCTTTTGGAGTATACTGCCACTAGGTGGTTGTTTTACCATTGCAGTTAATTTCTTGCCACTGGTCAGCCATTACATGTATGTATATGGCATTGTGAAGGAAACTGGAGAGAAAATAACTTCCTGTGTATCATAGATAAGCATGCACATAGAGGCTAACATTGCACTACAGCCCCATCTCAGGCTCACAAGACATATTACAGTACATACAGTACGTATATGCTGTTGCATTACCAACAATAACCACCCGCCTAATATTGAGTAGGTCCCCCTTTTACCACCAAAACAGCCCTGACCTGTCGATGATGGACTCCACTAGAACTCTGAAGTTATGCTGTGGTATCTGGCACCGAGCTGTCAGTAGCAGATCCTTTAAGTCTGTAAGATGCGAGGTGGGGCTTCCTTGGATTGGACTTGTTTTTCTAGC